GGCCGCAACAGCGGCTACAGTGAAGGGCCGCGTCAGCTGCAGGGTTGGGGCCACGACAGTGGCAGGTCGGGGCCGCGGCAGTTGCTGTAGGGTCGGGTCAAGTCAACGGCAGGGTGGGGCCGTGTCGGCGGCAGGGCGGGGCCAGGTCGTGTTAGCGGCAGGGCGGGGCCAGGTCGTGTCAGCAGCAGGGCGGGGCCGAGTCGACTGCAGGGCGAGGCCGTGGTGGCGGTAGGGTGGCGCGCGCCGCTGCCTAAGGCCGCGCACTGGCTGGCAGAGTGCGGCGCGGGCTGCGCGGACGGCGCGCAGCGCACTGCGGGCCGCGGACGCGCCACGCGGGCTCTGGGCGGGCAGCGGCAGGCCGCGCGCGCGCTGCGCGGGCTCGGTGCGGGCCGCGCAGGGTAGGTGTGGGCCGCGCGCGCGTCGCACGGGCTCGGGGCGGGCTGCGCGGGGCAGCTGCGCAGGCTCGACGCGGGCTGCGCGGGCCGTGCGCGAGATGCGACGCGGCTGCTGAGGCGCGATTCGGGCAGGAGAGGGCGACCCGCGGGGGTAAAGACGAGGCAGCGCGTTAGAATTAGGTCTGCGCGTGAAGCAACAGCAGACAGCTCAGACAGTAGACAGCAGGCAGCAGGCAGACAGTGTGCGCAGCGCAGCACGTCCTAGGTACAGTGAGAGGCACATTCGTGGGGTAGTGATAGGTGGGCCCGAAAAAAAAGACGGTCCTACGGGCCTACTGCTCTGATACCATGTCAGAAGTATAGGCAGGAATGAATGAACTATGGAAGAGTTGGGTACAAATATCAAACCCTAGAAGGGGTTGTACCCCATATTGGCTACCCCACTACAGCCTAAACCTAAATAGCATACGTAATCTGACAAGGCTAACTCGACGGATGCAAGACACGCAGAGTCAGAAACCAAGCTCGCGAGGTAGTCAAGGCAGCAAGTAGCAGCAAATTCAGTGAGCTCAACGGCCAAGGCAGACGCAGTAGCAGATGGAAAAGTAGGGTCCGTCACAAGTGTGGCAAGGCAACGAGTGACAGTCGGACTGGCAGCACGAGCACGGTTAGACACAATGTTAGAAACATCAGGCAGAGAAGACGGGGGAGGTAACGGCAGGACAATAGACTGCAAAATAGTGGAAGGGCGAAGTGTCATGGCGTGAGTACTAGGATCAGGTGGAAGTGGAGTACGAAGACGACGGGTACGAGCAACAGGTGAGGTAGCTTCAGACATAGGCTCCCTACGCTGAGTCAAGGAGTGGGTTAACGAAGAGTAACAAGGAGGAGCAGGAAGAGGGGAGTCAGGTGGTAACTGTGCCTGAGACAGGTTAGGCGACTGAAACAGTTAAAGAGGAGTAGTACCAGTGGTAGACGGCTCTGCAGAGGGAGGCGGAAGACTGAGAAGGTGGTGAAGCGCCGACCTAGGTAGCGACAGCGACGACTTCGGCTGCTCCTGTTGCTGTAGTGGCTGCAACGCACCGCAATAACTATGCAGGTACATGTAAAGGTCAATGTAACACTATATAGGTACAGGTGAAGGTCATATGGTAACACTATGCAGGTGCGGGTGAAGGTCTTATGGTAACACTATGCAGGTGCAAGTGAAGGTCCTTAAGCCAGGACTCGAATTCGATAGAGCGCCCCTCTGCGTCAAACGTGAGCACAGTAATCGTCGCCATGGCGGACACTAGGTCAAGAGGTAGTACCGTACTGAGAGCTAGTGGCACGGCAATATGGCTGTGTGGCGGCAGGCAGGGCAGCAATGCAGCAAGGCTTGGCGGTAGGCAGGGCGGCGCGGCTTGGCGGTAGGTAGGGTGGCGCGGCTCGGTGGTAGGCAGGGCGGTGCAGCTCTGCGGTAGGCAGGGCGGCGAGGCTCGGCGGTAGGCAGGGCGGCGCGGCTTGGCGGTAAGTAGTGCGGCACGGTTCGGCGATTGGTACCGCTGAGCGGCAGCAGGCGGCCGGCTAGGGGTGCGGCAGCAGCCGTTCGCGAGCCAGGCGCAGGCGGGAGTGGCAGCGAGCTGGGCCTGGCAGCTAGCGGCAGTGGGAAGAGCAGCGAGCGGTAGCAGGCAGCAGCGGCTCGCAGCAGCGCGTGCAGCCGCGAGCAGCACAGGAGCAGCGCGCGGCTGCGCGCCGGAGCTCGCGCAGCAGCGCTGAGTGGAGCGCGCAGTGGCGCGCAATGTGGCAACGCGTAGAGTGGCAGCGCGAAGCGTCGGAGCGCGCAACGAGCAGCGTGGGTGAGAGCAGCACTGGTGCACGTAGCAGCTGCAGCAACTCGTGCAGTAGAGGCAGCAGCGCATGCAGTAGTGGGCGGTAGGAGCGGCAGCGCATGACAGTAGGGCAGTAATGCAGCTCCCGCACAGAAGTAGCAACGCGCAAAGCAGACTAGGGTAGGGGGAACCAACCTACTCGATGATAGTATGTCAAAATGAGAAACAGCGGATTGAGTTGGTCAAGGGTTGAATACAAATAGCTAAACGTAACAACCTGTACACCCTACAGCATGCCTCACTGCAGCCTAGCATAAACCTACATGTATACCTCGTACTCTTCCTCTTCCTTTTCTTCCTTCTTTCCTACGTTAGTGTTCTCAACTTAATGGTTCTCCCTTCGTTTACTGGCAGCTATTAAATTTTGTATGTTGAATGTGAAGCTTAGATATGGTTCAGGAAACATGCATTGAGGTTTCAGCTGAAATTGGCTTGAACTAATGTATAGTAATAAATGTACAGGAAGGGTAAAACATCTAAGCACCGGGGGTGAAGTTGGTGGCATAGGCCCACGCGTTGTTGACGGTGGGGTCAGCCAGGTGGTCGCTCAGGTTCTCCAGGGGGCCCTTGCCAGTGACGATGGCCTGCACGAAGAAGCCGAACATCGACACCATGGCGAGGCGGCCGTTCTTCAGCTCCTTCACCTTCAGCTCAGCAAGAGCATCGGGGTCGTCGGCCAGGCCCAGGGGGTCGAAGGCACCGCCGGGGTACAGGGGGTCCTCAACCTCTTGGAAGCCCTCGAGGCCACCCACGCGGTAGCTCTCGACGGCACCCATGAGGATGACCTGGGTGGCCCAGATGGCCAGGATGGACTGCGCGTGGATCAGGCTGGGGTTGCCCAGGTAGTCCAGGCCACCCTCGGAGAAGATCTGCGCGCCGGCCTTGAACCACACGGCCTCGCCGAAGTTCACGCCGTTGCCGGCCAGCAGCTCGGGGGTCAGGCAGCCGAGCGCGCCGAGCAGAGCCCAGCGAGCGTGGATGACCTGAAGATTTATAAACAGGCGAAACAACAGTGAATTCGGTCAGAACCGTGAAACGGTTAGCGTCGTAACGCAGCCAAGGTAAAACTGTTTCGAAATTGCTCATATAAACATTGAAACGTGATATTTGCGTTGTTCATTCAGCAATAAATGTGCATCCGTGACAAATGCATCTTATATGTGATGTTAGGCTTACCTCCAGCTCGCGGTTCTTGGCGAAGGTCTCGGGGTCAGCGGACAGACCGGCGGTGTCCCAGCCGTAGTCGCCGGGGTACTCGCCGGTGAGGTACGACGGGGGGGAGCTGAAGGGGCCCAGGAACAGGTTGCGGTCGGGGCCGTAGAAGGCGCTGCTGGAAGCCGCCTTGGCGGTCTTCCTCATCGTCACGCGGGCCTCGACATTGTTCACCTTTGCGGCGAGCTCAGCGCTCTGGCCGACGAAGGTGGACGGGAGCACAGCAGCGTTGGCAAGAGCAGCCATTGTGGATGTTTGAATCTCTCGAAGAAGCTGCGATGAGATGAAATGAAATCGAGTGCTGGTGCTCTGCTGAGACTGACTGATGCCAGTTTTGAACTCGAGGGTGATGAGCTCGGGTCGGGTCGGGAGGGAGGGAGGGGGAGTGTTGTTGCGATTGGACGCTGACGCATCACACGCACACCGCTTGGTTTCCATTCCAGTCATCTGCGATGCTCCTATCTCCCAAACTGGTCGTTCCAGATTCCCGCAATCCAAGATCAACCAATCAGTGTCAACAAAAATTCTCAGGAATTGGGCGATGGGTTGTGCTATTGGTGCAGTGGTGATGCTGTTTCGCGAAAATGTGTGCGATGTTTCGCTTGATCGTCAATCAGTCAAGCACCACGGTGTGCAAACTGATTCGACAACACAAATATCTCCAATCGTGGTGGGCAGGGTCGAATGCGGTCCAGCGAGGTGACCACAAAAGGTAGGTGCTCGAATCTTATCTTTACTATTACCGTGTTATATCTCAGTAAAACGATTTAAATCGTTTTCAACATACCGAACACTCATCACCCTGCTGCACTTCCTCTCCTCCTGCGCTCGCAGATTCGAATTCAGCTATCAGCGGAGCAAGTAGGATCGCCACGTTCCCACACCCCTAGATCATGGCAGAATTTAGGACGGAAATCGCTGCTGCTACGGCGGCGGACGCGCTGTTTTAGTTTAAAAAAACTCGAGTTTTCCATAGGCTAAAATAAAAAACGATTGTACAGCTGCGCGCCGACTCGGTAGCAGCGATGGGGAGCGTGAGTCGCGGGGGCGAGCGCATGGCGGGGAGGCCGTTGGCGGCAGATGCGGTGAGGGTTGGAGCGACGCGCGGAATGGCGGACTGCTGGCTGTACCGCGTCGCTGCTTGGCTCGGCGCGCTCTGCACGCGCCCTGCAGCCTGCTGTGTGCCACTCACCGGCTGACATGTGGATTGCGCGAGAGGTATGACAGGCGTCGAGACACCGACCGGCGTGTCTCACGCGTCAACTGCTCTACTCGTCGTCAAGGCCGTCGCCCCGCCGTCTCTTTTGCCGATCTGTCGTACTGCGCGCCTGCCGCCCACCTGCCGTGGCGGCTCGCACTGCCCACCTCTCGCGTCCCTCTCGACAGTGTTTTTGTCAAACGCTCCCACACTCAGGCAGGCCGCTTAAATTCACCAGCAGTAGCGGGCATACAGAGGTGATGAGGTGAGGAAATACCGTGTATGCCGCACGTACCCATATCGCGCGCAAAGCCTCTGCCAGGGATGCGCCCTCATCGCCGCTCCCGCCGTTGTCGTTTCACTCGCCTCCGCCATCCATCGTCCACATCTCCTCGTCTCCCCCTTCCCTTCCCTTCCCTCGCACAGTCTGCCACCTCGTGCATTACCCGCTCACTCGGGCATTGCCGTTGCATACACAACCCTCGGGTCCCCCTCTCCCCTCATCTCCCCCCTCTCCCCTCGTCTCCCTTCACTCCCGTCTGACCCCGCCCCGCCCTCTCCCAATTCCCCCCATCGCCCTCCGCGCCAGCATGGCAGGCATGAGCTGCCGGGCATGAGCTGCCGGGCATGAGCTGCCGGGCATGAGCTGCCGGGCATGAGCTTCCGGGCATGATCTGCCAGGCATCGTGCCACGTGGCGTCCTCGCCCATGGCGGCCCTCCGTGCCCTTCACGTGGACTCTCTGCGCGCCTCCACTGGGGCTGCAACGCCACCGCCACATGAGTGGGCGCTGCGTCTCGCTGCGTCACATGCCAGCAGCGCACGTGCAGGTGATTCATGGTTGGCGCAGACATGCATGCGCACATGCACAGTCCCATGCTCATCTCGCACTGCACACGTGTACGTGTGCACACCATGCCCGTACCCAATTTCCCAATAATGCTCGACCATTCCCCCCTCCTTCCCGCCTCTATCCATTTTCCTCCTTACTCCCTCTCACAGCGGTTGCCCTTCTCTCACCCACCTCCTCTCTGCCGACTTGCTTTACAACGACCCCCCTCTCTCTCCAACCCATTTCCTTTCCCTGTCGCCCCTCCTCGCTCTCTCTCCCACTCTTTCTTCTCATCAACAGTACTTCCTCTCTCACCCACGTCTCCTCTATCTCCCGCCCTCGTCCTCTTGCCTTTCTGCCGCCCATGCCCCGTACCCACCACCCATTTCATCTGCTTGTTCCTCCTCTCCCTCTCGCATGTGCGTGGGTGCAGTAGAGGGCGGCAGAAGCCATCTCCCATCCCACGGATCGCCTTTCCTCCGTGCCGCCTGCTCGGATCTGCTCGCACTGTTGCTTGATGGGGAGGTGAGAGGTCCAGGGGGGTGGTGAGAGGTGCGTGGGGATGGTGGGTGGTGCGTGGGAATGGTGGGTATTGCGTGGGATGGTGGGCGGTGCGTGGGATGGGGGATGGTGCGTGTGGTGAGTGGGTGTAGAAGCAGAGACAGGGTTGGTACGAGGCTGTGGGAGAGGCTGTCGCTGTTGGCAGGGGAAGCGGGGTGGCAGAGGCGGATGGGGGTGAGGAGTGGGAGGAACAGGTGAGAGGGGTGGAGACAAGGGGAGGGCACGGAGGGCTTTGTGGGGAAGTGACGACCACTCCGGGCGGCAGTGAGTGGTGGCTGGCAGAGGGGTTGGGAGATGTGAGCGAGGCGATTTCATCCTCTCCTTCACATCCTGCCAACGCACTCTCTCTTCTCTGCCATCTCCCCTCCTCCCCACCCCTGTCTCCCTCCCTCACTTCCCCTCCCCACCCACCAGGCAGCAGCCCCTGTTGCTCAGATGCCACCGTCCCTCTCACTGTCCGTCCCCTTCCGAGCGCACCGCACAATATCATGTAGTCTACCGTATGTGCAGTGCATCACTGCTGGGCATTCCTGCGCCGTTGCTCTTCAAAACACGCCATGGCTAGCGGCGTTGCTCTACAAAATTATGCATCCGCACTGCACTTGAAAACACTGACACATGCAATTACGGTACTATATATTATTTATGGATTATGTACAAGATAAACAGTACTACCGTCAGCCCCCGGATAGAAGCGCCCCTGGGAGTATAAAAAAACACTGTTTTTTAGGGGGTGGGCTTCTTATTGAGGATTTTTATAAGCGCTGGGGCTTATAAAATGACGTATATGAAATCTAGTTTTTCTACACCAAAGTGTTCATCTCGTCCTTGCGATTTGAATCGAATCGATATTGTAGAGGGCTGGAATGTGAATCTCGCGTAAATTGGCAGTGGCTGATTCTCTGCCAACACGCACAGTCAGAATGAGTCAGATTGACCCCATGACAGGTCATTCTGACTGGACGCGAAGGCATTGAGTCGCGCGATGGTGAAGGGATTCGAATTTCTGAATGTGGGGATGCAAAAATTGTGTTTCGTTACAGCGTTTCCAGTAAAAATATTAAAAATAATTCAGAGGGTGGCGCTTATAATCCGTAAGCCTTTAGGGGTGCGCTTATAAGCGCCCTCATCCTTTCATAAGTGCCGGCGCTTAGCCGAGGCCTGCGCTTCTATCCGGGGGCTTATAGTACTAGTGGGCTTATCTGCCTTGCCTCTGGTTGTAGTATGCTAGCTCGTGAACACCTGAATCCATCACCTAGATATAGCACTTTTCCTTAGAAGCCATCCCTTAGGAGCACATCTCAGCACATCAGCACAACAGCAATCCATAGGCCCTGCCACCCTCCACCAGTTTCAGCCTCCCACATTCCCACAAACAACCAGGCAAGCTGGATGAAAAAAAGAAGCTGCTGCCTGTTAAAGTAATTAGAACGTAAGGGCCTAGGCTTAGGAGCCTAGGCCCAACTTAGGTATCGAGTGAGTTGGGCCCAAGGGGGAGAGTCGAGAAAGTTGTGAAGGTGAAAAGTGAGTTTCACTATAGGTTCAAGGAACATATAGCATAGGAAACAAAAGGGTGCACCACCTAACAAAATTTGCAATAACTACACTAACTACAGCTACAGGCAGTTACAAATATAAATAATATAAAGTCTGACACTCCCCCATAACTGCCTGCAGCAGAAGTTTGTGCAGAACACAACTTGCAGGGGTACACAAGCAACACAAGCAAGATAATAGCCAAGCAACAGCAGGTACTGCAGGCGGGCAGACACTAACTGGTCACCCCCTCTATCACCTCACCCTCCTCCCTCCCCTCCCCCACACTGCTGCAGGAGCAGTAGAGAGGGGGGGAAGAGAGGAGAGGTGGAGGGACGGCTGCTGGTTGCCTCACACCCGTCACCCCGGCGCCTCTCCCCCTGCTCCCCCACACCCTCACACCCTCCCCCCCAGCGGCAGCTGCAGCAGTGGGAACAAAAGGAGGAGGAGGGGAAGGGAAGGGTACGACCCACACTCCAACACCCTCCACCCCCATACCCTCCTCCCCGCGGCTGCAGGGAGACAAAGGAGGAGGGGGGTGGGAAGGAAGAAAGCCGCAGAGCGGCGAAAAGGTGTCGGTGCAGTGGTGTCAGGGGCGGCTTCAGGGAGTGCAGGGGCGGAAAGCACCGTCGCAGGCGCCAATGGCGGGTCCGCGGCGGCTCAAGGGCACCGCCGCGGGCGCCAGGGGCGGGTCCGCGATGGCGCAGGGCACCACCGCAGGCGCCAGAGGCGGGTCCGCGGCGGCTCAGTGCACCGCCGCAGGCGCCAGAGGCGGGTCCGCGACGGCTCAGGGCACCGCCGCAGGCGCCAGAGGCGGGTCCGCGACGGCTCAGAGCGCCGTCGCGGGCGCCAGGGGCGGGTCCGCGACGGGTAGAAAAAAAAGACGTCACGCGCCCGAGGCGCGCGACTAGAAATTCAGCAGCGGAAGCTTTGGTCGGGCCCACAGGCCAGGACCAAACTGCTCTGATACCATGTTAAAGTAATTAGAACGTAAGGGCCTAGGCTTAGGAGCCTAGGCCCAACTTAGGTATCGAGTGAGTTGGGCCCAAGGGGGAGAGTCGAGAAAGTTGTGAAGGTGAAAAGTGAGTTTCACTATAGGTTCAAGGAACATATAGCATAGGAAACAAAAGGGTGCACCACCTAACAAAATTTGCAATAACTACACTAACTACAGCTACAGGCAGTTACAAATATAAATAATATAAAGTCTGACACTGCCACCTAGCTCTCCCACCCACACCTCTTCAACTAGCCTCCAAGCAACTCCCTGTTGCTGTCAGCTGCTGTGCTCCATTGCCTCTTGCTAAGTTTTTGGCTCTTCTGATTTTTTTTTTTTTTTGAAAATTTTCATTTCGTCGTATGGCGTGTAACCTTTACAGTTTACGTCAAAAGTACGGTCGGAGCCCTCCAACTGACCGGACGGGGCCCCGTCCGTACGTCTGGGAAAGTGGTTCGGACGTGGAGCCGTCCGACCAGGGCGCTCGTTATCAGGGTAAAATACCCTTTTTGCACTGACTGGCGGCCGCTTTTTTTTCAGTTACCCTTTCACCAGACCGGGTAGTGGATTTTTTACCCTAGGCCAGAAAGTGTAAGTTTTTTTTTTACCCTTAGAAAAACAGCGTAAGGAACATATTTCCCTGACTGTATAGTGTACAATCACAGTAATACTGATACCGAATGCTCCACAAGACGAATTATAATGCGGGCCCTTGCAGAACACTCCCAACAACAAGACTCGAATCTACGGCCTTTCAGACCCTGTTCCGTAACATACGAGCTGAGCCACTAAGTCTTAAACTAATCAATTTCAGAAATATACATAGAGCAGTCTCCAAAAAAAATACCCTTGTCAAACAGTGTTACAGTTTTTTTACCCTCCATTTGTCAGGGAAACAAACATTTTACCCTAGGCATCAGGGTTGACTATACCTATAGCCCTGATTACTAAGGGTGGCCTAAAACGAATATGAAGCCTTGCGTCCGACTCACAATTGTGGAGCTTTTTTGGTTCTCGAAATTTGAAATGCATGCGACGCGTAACGCACATTACCACCTCTTTGTCAAAATCGCCCAACCACAATCGCGACCCGATGATGTGTCAAGTCAATGTGCGTTGGTTTCCGGCGTGAGCCAACAAAATATTTCCAGTCAACACAACCTGTAGTATACTTGTGTCTTGCTGCCGTAATCTGTCACAATATATATATTTGTAACTGCCTGTAGCTGTAGTTAGTGTAGATATTTAAACTTTGTTTGGTGGTGCACCTTATGTGTTTCCTTTGCTATATGTACTTCGAAACTATAGTGAAGACACACATTCTCCAATTTTCCTCTCTCAACTCACTCGACACTCACCCTAGGTGAAAACCCGCTCGACACTTAAGTTAGGGCCTAGGCTACTAAGCCTAGGCCCCACCTTTCTACTGTTAATTACTTAGTCTCTCGACATGTTATCGGAGCTAGGTTCGTCCTGGCCTGTGGGCCCACTTTACACTTCCGCTGCTAAGGTTTTCCGGTCGCGCGCCTAGGGCGCGTGACGATTTTATTTTTACATTGTCCCGCCCACGGGCGAGTGACTCCTTCCCTGCCCGTCGCGCGCCCCGTGGCACGCGACGGTGCCCTTCGTCTGCCCATCGTGCGCCCCGTGGCACACGATGGTGCCCTGCTCGTCGTGCGCCCCGAGGCACACGATCGGGCCCTTCTATTCTACCCGTCGTGCGCCCCGTGGCACTGGCCCGCGACGGGCCTTTCCGCCCCTGCACTCCCTGAAGCCGCCCCTGACACCACTGCACCGACACCTTTTCGCCGCTCTGCGGCTTTCTTCCTTCCCACCCCCCTCCTCCTTTGTCTCCCTGCAGCCGCGGGGAGGAGGGTATGGGGGTGGAGGGTGTTGGAGTGTGGCGTCACCTCTCTCCCTTCCCCTCCTCCTTCTTTCAGTCCCACCGCTGCAGCTGCCGCTGGGGGGAGAAGGTGTGAGGATGTGGGGGAGCAGGGGGAGTGGTACCGGGGTGACGGGTGTGAGGCAACATGCAGCCGTCCCTCCACCTCTCCTCTCTTCCCCCCCTTCTCTGCTGCTCCTGCAGCAGTGTGGGGGAGGGGAAGGAGGAGGGTGAGGAGATGGAGGGGGTGACCACTTAGTGTCAGCCCGCCTGCATTACCTGCTGTTGCTTGCTATTTATTTTGCATGTGTACACCTGCAGGTTGTATTCTACACATACTCCTGCTGCAAGCAGTTATGGGGGAGTGTCACAATATATATATTTGTAACTGCCTGTAGCTGTAGTTAGTGTAGATATTTAAACTTTGTTTGGTGGTGCACCTTATGTGTTTCCTTTGCTATATGTACTTCGAAACTATAGTGAAGACACACATTCTCCAATTTTCCTCTCTCAACTCACTCGACACTCACCCTAGGTGAAAACCCGCTCGACACTTAAGTTAGGGCCTAGGCTACTAAGCCTAGGCCCCACCTTTCTACTGTTAATTACTTAGTCTCTCGACATAATCACCCCGTTAATCAACACCATGTCATCACGGCAGTTCGTCGCCGTGTTAACGCTACTATACCGCAGGTAACACCAGATGTTTGGGCGACCCCGGCACGACAGAATCGTCGAGTTATTCCCAGTTCAGTCTGAACTTGCTGACGATGACGACTGATGATGTAACTGAAGGATCCAGTGGATAGGATAGAATATGTTAAGTCTGAGAGGAGACAATGAAGTCCCTGTAGCGACCTTGTTGAATAATAATTGAAAGAGAACAAGATAACTCAAAGATAGGAGTACAAGAGGTTCAGTAGGAATCTAGCTAGCCATGTAATTGTGAAATGAGTAAGCAGGAATGAATGAACTATGAATGAAAGCAGTACAAATATGAAACCCTAACTGGGTTGTACCCCCTATGGGATACCCCACTACAGCCTACACAGCAGTATAAGCTATAGATATGTTCTGACACACCCCCATAGGCAAAGTGGGGGAGAACAAGGGGTCACAAGACCAGTCAAGCAAGACAAAGCAAAGCTCAGGGTGGATCACGAAGTCACCACACAGTCCGAGCACAAGAGC